CACCCCTCACCACTCACACTAATAAATACAAGCACTCAAACAAAACACATAATGACAAAAAGTATAGGATATAACTGTATACGGTAAAATACCCCCACGTCCTCTAAACAACGGAACAGAACCAACCATTCTTAAATCCGGCGGCATGCCTACACGCTCACTGTATGTAGCCAAGGCATGACACGCCTCTATTATGTGTGACACGTCGAGCAACCTTCCTCTGTATAAGGGGCACCTGAGCAGGCTTTGGCCCAAAATCAGATGCCCGAGTGCCAACCGTGTATGGCCAATCCTCAACCGGGTGAGGACGATCCCTCATCTCTAAGGGCCATCAGCAGGTCGTGCTCTTGACTCGCAAGAGCCCTTCGGTCGACCCCGCCCACTGATGCAGCCATCTGTCTTTTATCATGTTTTTCACTGCTAGCTTGGCGTCAGAGGACCTGTTGCGATGGGCCGGATGGGGCGAGGTCAGCTCCCGACTTTCGCCGCCTCATCCGCACGTTTGTTACCCTCCATACCGACGTGTCCGAAAACTCAGACGACAACCACCGTTTTACCAAAGAGCTCCAGCTCGGCGTATTACTCTAACAAGAGCACGACGGGAGAGGTCCACAGAGAACGAGTCTCGTATAGCCCAAACAGCGCTCAGAGAGTTACCGGACACACGAGGAAAGCTGAGCCCTCCCTCTGTCCGTACGGAGAACGTGCCAAATCATATACAGCTCCGCCGTGTATACACTGCAATGAGGGGCAAAGACCAGAAGGTGGCCACTACCTCGCTATACATGCCACACTGTCTCTGGCCTTGGATTCGTTTGTAAAAACCAGACGAAAATTTGTGTAGCTATTTCTAAGTTCAAGAAAGTTAGCCTAAGGAATACCGTTCTCCTGAACATGATCCCTGGAGAGAATAGTTCAAGCCTGACTCGGAACCTGCGGTTGTCTAGGAAACCCCGGAGTTATTTGCCTCTTAGACCGAAATCGAGACATTTCCGAAGTATCGCGTATCCCCACGTCGTATCATACGTCTTCTCGAGATGAAGAAAACGGCCGGAGCCTGTTCTCTGTTCAAGAACGTGTCCTGAAAGCCGCCCTCGAGAAGACAGGCATGATCCACCGCACTGCGTTGCCTACGGAATCCAGCCTGACACTGGCTGTAAAATCCCTTCGAATCATATTAGATATTTACATATGCAATATTATTTTTGTTTTGGATTATATTGTATTAAATTGTAATTACTGTTGTATTCAGCGTTAAATTCATTGCAATGTTCTTGGATATACAATTTTTTGGTGATTCCATTTGGCATATATACAAACAACAAATCCTGGAGCATGCAACGTATAATTGTCCATGAGGAAACCATGAATTCTCCAAATTCAATCATCGTAACAGAAATGATTGATCTTATAATTTGTTCATCATTACTGCAAAAGCCAGTTTAATTGGAAATTGCAATCGTTTGAAATGGAAAGGCACTTCTGTTGGTATCATTGTAATATGTTGTATTACCACACACATCCTCTCATTTGAATTTTTGTAAGAATATTAATATTATTCAGCGAATATTATGTTGTCGTTTTGTTGGTATTTTAAACAACAGCAAAATGCAATTCTACAACAGAATCAGAAAGTCAGAATGTAAGATTAAACATAATTCATACTACAGCAAATACATCAGAATTAACACTGAACAATGAAAAACTTACAGAACTAATATAAACGCAAAAACGTACAAAACTAAGATAATTTACTATTTCAACTTGATCTATAACAGTATCTGATTGTTGATTTATATAAGCTCAAATCCGCAGATTTTGTTCATATGTGCACACATGTGCAGAGTTGAGCCTATCACTTCTCGCAGTCTACCAACAATTCCGGTTTGTAATTTACAGTAAATTACCGGCAGGCATAGAGAATCACCCACCGTGGTTGGGCTTGGGGAGCTTCAAACAGGTTGTAGGTCATTTTTCCCACACACAATGCAACCAGTTCCTAAAAAATCATTCATACTCTCACTATAAGATTATCTATCGATTTGTATGTGTAATTTTTAGTATGTACAGCCGTATAACCCGGGCGTTGCCCAGGGGTCTATATATATATGTTATATGTGTGTGGTGTGTGTGTGTGTGTGTGTGTGTGTGTGTGTGTGTGTGTGTGTGTGTGTGTGTGTGTGTGAATCCGCACGAGAAAGATGTTACGCCCTGTGTTCACGGTAAGTTTTTATTGACCACATAAACGTGCCTTTACGACAGAAAAACCAGTTTTGGCTTAACGACAAATCGCCGAGCAGTTATTTAACTACACACATTATATATTATACTGGGTGTGCAATGCCCAAGATAAACATTTTATTACATGCTCTTGAAAAAAAGCATTAAATCGTCTATAAAAAAAATATAGGAAAAGATTAACTTGATTGCTAAGCTATAACGTCCGAAGAAGTGGAAACGCGGTGTAGTATAAGGTCAAACGGAATGGAAAAACAAAGATCAGAATCGATCAAACCTCGATACAATATCTCATCGGATTTTTAAACCATAAATAACATAGAAGGCAAGGAATAATAATCAAATCCAATGACCGTGCAACATTCGGAGTCCTCAACATAATTCAAAGTGTTTAAGCATCCGTTTTGAGGAGTTGCTTCAATGATTTAATCAAATAACGTGGTAACAACTGGAAGAATCATTGCTGGTTTTGGCCACGTTATGGACCAGCATAAAGGAAAAACATGCTGGGAAAAATGTACTCTTCTAACTATCATAATGGCTAAATTTGATTGATTAAACTAGCTATAAAAGAAAAATTGGGATGAACGTGAAGCTTCTGCTCGTAGTCCTCAACATAAAACAGAATGCTTAAGCATCCGCTTTCAGGAGGTACATTAATGATGTAATCAAATGGCATGGCAGCAACTGGAAGCATAGCTGGTTTTGTCCATGTTATAAACCAGAGTTTCCTTAGCAATTTACATTTTTTTTATATTTCTTTAGACAAAGACTCAATTATTAAAGGTTTAAAACCTGAGAATTTTATTAATATATAAAAATTTATACAAATCAAGTTATATTACAAGTGGGTGTAATTTTTTGCCTGTCAGTGTATAAAGAGTTAAGGGGGAAGAGCCCAATTTTAAAGGCTACTCTTTCGTTGAGCTAAGTTGGCTTTTAAAATGCGCTGCGCGTTTCTTCAGCTGAACTCGGCCGTGTAGAATATGGGCTGAGCAGGGCTTCTGTTCGCTGCCCTCGAATCTGTTTTTCATTTCTTGGCAGAGTGAGATCTGTTTTTCATTCTGGGTGAGATCCGCATGCTTCACCACCTAGGTGCTTAACGCCGGAAACACTTACCCGATGCAACGCTACCCGATGCTACCCTACGCAAATCCAAAGTCCAATTTTCCATAAGGTTGTATTACCCTCGTGCACATCTATTCTATGCCACGCAACGCTACCCTACTCAACGCTAAGCGATCCCCACTGTCCAGATTTTCGTCGAGTAGCATCGAGTACAGTCGAAGACAAAAGAACCGGACACTCATATTTTTATTTCAAACGACATGTATTATTGTCGTCATCTTAATTACAACAAACTTATTTTAATATAAACGAAATTAACCGAGATCAAAAATTCATTCGTTTTATTTTTTTTTTAAATTTTAATGGTTTGGTAGAAAATTGATCAAAACTCTGGAATACCATTTTTGATATAATGAATTTAACAAACAATTTATTACACGGTTTTGCTCATAAAATTTAACCAACAATTTATTTCATTGTTTTTTCATACAATTGAACCATTTTTGTCGAGTAGCGTCAGACATGACACTCGCATCTTTGTAGTTTATTTCAAACTAGGTTTATGTAATGTTGTTGTTATATTAATTGCAACATTCTTATTTTAATGTAAACCAAATTAAACGAGATCAAAAATTTGTGAGTTTTTATAAAAAATATTTAATTATGATGGTTAGGCAGAAAATCAAAACACCGGAATAACTTTATGTAAAAAAATTAAATTTAACTAACAATTTATTACATTGTTTTGCTCAAAATAATGCATTCAGAACAAAAGAGGCATTGCGATTGTGATACTGATTTGTGATACGGGATGTGTGACTGTACGTGGCGTGCGCTTGACGTCGCATAGATGTGCACACCCCACCAAAACGAGATAAGGCGTCGGGTAGCGTCGAACCTCGAAGGAGACAACATTAACCGCATTTGTACCACACAGATTATGGACATTGTTCAACAATGAAATTATAAAAATAAAGTAGGGAAAATACGTCGAAAAGAATTTTTCCATTTCAAACAATAAATTATGTTAATTTATGGCATTTCATTGTTAATTTATACTTANCCTGAAGATGATCTCAATAAAGATCGAAACGTTGGCACGATAAAGAAAATGTTTTTCTGAAACCTACGTCACACCAGACCGCATCTCACGATTTCTGAATTAATTTTCATCTATCCGCCACACACTGAAATTACACTAGGAATAATGGAACGAATGGTTTCACTTTTGCCTATCCCGATATAACAGGGGCGATAAACAATAAACGGGCTAATCACGGGTAAGTGTAGAAGAATGTGCGAAAATTGCCAAATGGAAAAAATCGTATGAAATTTCTATTAAAGGGTCGATTGGATTTTCTTGTCGAACTCACGTCCCTGGGAATGGATATCTTCAATTAGCAACGCTTATGATAAAATGCAAATATTTAACAACGCTGATGGCATTTTAAGGATGGGATTAAACGACCCCATTTGCTTGACTCTGACGCAAATCATCTTCCGAAGAATTTCAGCCGACGTCGAATTATTCTCTACAGTAATTTATGTGGGAACGCTGAAAACGAGGGGATCTGGAAAAGTCTGGCACTGAATTCCTTTTTAATTTAAATAAACCAAATTAAATGGAACTGAAAATAATTCATAAACAAACCGGGTCACTGTGTTATAAAGGAATTAGAGATCGATAGAAACAATACTGTCAATAATAATTTTATTAGGAACTTGAAATGTTCACAGATTACGTAATAAGTTTTATATACATATTAATTAAGTTATAAAGTAGCGTGTAGTATTATTTAACTAATCTTTTATTTGCAGGCGAAGTCTTTCTATTCACTTCGTGAAAAAGTTGTCGTTACATTTGTCCAAATTATCACAGGATTTGGATTTGCTGGACCTGAAAAAAGACCAAAACAAAGGATTAGTGTTTAGTCCAAATAGTAAGCAATAACTGATGAAAAGGGGGGAAGCAATATAAGTTTTATACCGACAAATTAAACCTTTTTAATTTGAAATTCATCCTTTTTCGCGTAAAGTTAACCATTTTCAATCTCAAATGTCTTGGCTTCAGAGTAACCATCCTTTTTAATTTGAAACTGACCCTTTTTCGATGAAGTTAACCATTTTCAATCTCAAATTTCTTGCCTTCAGAGAAACCTCCCTTTTCAATTTTAAATTGGCCCTTTTTCGCATTAAGTTAACCATTTTCAATCTCAAANTACCACACAGATTATGGACATTGTTCAACAATGAAATTATAAAAATAAAGTAGGGAAAATACGTCGAAAAGAATTTTTCCATTTCAAACAATAAATTATGTTAATTTATGGCATTTCATTGTTAATTTATACTTACTTTTATTCGATTATAGGTTTATTAGTAGAATTAAACATTTCTAGAAACATCATATGTTTATGTCTCGGGGAAGTAAATATTACAAACTGTTGGACTTTGGACTTCGACGCATTATAGTAATCACATAGTCATTGTTATAGTCAGCACAAGACGAATATAATAAATAAAAAATAAAAATTGGTGTCCGTGTGGTTCGAAGACACGATGCTCAAGTGGCTGATAAGAGGCGTAATCAGCCGAAGATCGTGGTTCGAATCCCGCTCGTGACACTATCTTTTCATCTCAACCAAGGCTTTAGGTAAAAAGCCTAATTAATTGAAATAATTAAATAGGTCAATTATGACCGCTAAACATGTATGACACAGTGACGTATTGTCGTATTCGGTCATGTTATTAACCTGAAAATAGGACCAACGGGATGGAAAAACGCGCGGATATCCAAACCGGAACGGTCAACAATTTTGAAGAACGTTCAATTATGTTAAGAACGTCCAAAAAGGACAAACGTACATGAAAGTCGTTAAGATCGAAAGTATTGAGCTATATGAAACGCGTTCCTCAACACAATTTCTAACATAAATTAATGCTCAAATCCAATGTTAAATTGGGGGAACCGTGAAGGGATTTTTGTATTCAACTTTGAGGAAGAATGGACAAAAGACGGAGGCCCGACCATATTTTCGCAGGTTGTCTCTTTCAACTTTGCTATTTTATTGAATCGTCCGCATAGAAGAATGAATTGCGGTTTTCATCACAGTGCATTTGAAAGGCGCATTTTCTCGCTTGATTTAGTAAATATAATAATAATTTAATAGTTCTTCCGGAATTAAAAATTGTTAATAGGCCCGGAGACAAATAAAGGCGAAGAAAGANAACCATTTTCAATCTCAAATTTCTTGCCTTCAGAGAAACCTCCCTTTTCAATTTTAAATTGGCCCTTTTTCGCATTAAGTTAACCATTTTCAATCTCAAATTTTTTCCCTTCGGAGAAACCACTTTTTTAATTTGAAATGAATCCTTTTCACATAGAACTAATCTTTTTATTTTCAAATAAACCTTTTTTGATCTTCAAATTAATCCTTTTTAATTTCAAATTAACGTGTTTTTTATCTGTGTAATGTCTTTTGTTAGCTCGGTGCACCTGTTAGGCATACTGTTAGTAAGGTTGCACTAATTTCATAAGGAATTTCACTCCATAGATGTTGCAACGCTGCATTCAGTGGTTGTAGGTCAACTGCCTGCGGATGGTGATAGAAAAGCCTTCTCTGCAACCCATCCCACATGTGCTCGATGGTATCGAGGCCTGAAGAGAATGGAGGAAGGGGCAGATGGGAAATTCCCAGGTCTTTTAACATTGATTAAAAATTCTATCTCTATGAGGTCTGGCATTGTCATCCATTAATCGAAAATCCCTTCCAATGAGATCCTTGCTATGAGGGATGTATTGCTCGATAATTTCTTGGACAGACGGACTGCGGTGAGGTTGCCTCAACAAAATGGAGACCAGTTCGTCCTCCAGTGTAAATCCCAGCCCAGACCATTACACCGCCTTCTCCAAACTACACTGAAGGGAGCACGAACTGGGGCATGAACGCATCCCCTGTACTCGGTAGACTCTTCGGCGCATGCTGTCACTACCCAAACAGAAACGCGATACATCAGTAAACGTAATATACTAAAGCCACGTTCTGAGAAACGCCAACTGCATCTGCGATATCTACTTGCCGGCGACCTCGATGACTCATTCTCACAATAATATTGCGAACTTCTGGTTCAAGATCATGTCTTTCCATGGTTAAATACAACTGGATTAAAATGGAGAAAAGACAAGAAAAGGAGATTGAAACGTAACTGTAAACATTAGGGAGTAAGGAATTATCACGATCTTTATACCGCGAGAAGAGCAATTGTGCTATTTTCTGCTGAAGTTGTGTGTCTTCATATTCCTTGTTGAAAGTTTTTTTTAAAAATTTATTTGTTACCTATGCATGATAGCATATTGTACAAATATGTACATATGATTAATATATCACAACACTAGCACTAATGCCAGCACTGCACCGGTAGAACACATGCTTTGAGGAGTCAGCCATTGGTGGCACTCAGTGTGTATGATTAGGGGTCAAGGAGGTCCCGAGGCCATCGTCGGTTGAGGCGACGTGGTGGGTTGTCAGGATGGGAATGAGTGGAGAGGGCTCGAGCAGTATGGTTAGGATGGGTGAAAGGTTGATGTGGAAGGTTTGGAATCTGGACCGGATTAGTTCGTTGACAAAAGAAATGTTGAGGTCTTTGTGATAGTGAGGTTAGTGACATAATAAGGTGCTTTGACAATTTGTCTAAGGACTTTCGATTGGAAGAACTGGATGCGCTGTATATTGGAAGGCTTGGCAGTTCCACTCCGTATATCCATATTGGTCTTAGTAAAGTCTTCTACAGTGTTAACTTGGTATTAATTTTCAAAGACGATTTATCTTCAAGTCATTATCGATTGGCATATAAATCGCAATACCGTTTACCAAGTCAACTGTAATAAAATCTTTAACGTTTTCTGAAGTTAAAAGTCGGCCGAATGACATTTGCCCTTTTAAAACGTAAAATCTCAAAACTGCCGGTATATGAGTTAAAAAGATGACTACGATTACGCAAGCTAACATAAGTAAATCCGTGGTACATTTTAAAAAACGTGGAAATGATATTTTCGATGACCACGGGCCGATATTCGGGGCAAAATCTAGTTCCGAAGAAGGCGTTACTAGGATAATCAAAGAATAACTTTCAGATCTCGAGGGCGAAAAGTTCCGCCGGTTCCGTTACTTTATCGCAATGCAGTTACAGAGGGAGTCTGTACTCAAGATTCACGTAATCTCGAGTGGAGGGGCGGAAACCGGTTTCCCGAGACTCGGTTCTCTGGCACAATGTTAACAGCTGAGGGACGTGTAAAACCGCCGTCGGACACGCAACTCCCGATGGAGAAACGGAGAACCATTTTTCGAGATCGTCATCGATGACCCGGAACGGGAGACGGTGCTCGGTAGAGACGGGAGTTTCTCGGCAAGAGGGTATGGACCAACTGATTGCACTTGCAAAATGAAAATTTTTAAAGACGCTTAGGTCTGCCAACACGATCCACCTGACGCCATCTCCTACAGCATTATCTCATTAACCCTCCGATTTCGAAAAAATAATTTCTTCCTCTCAGGTTGTTCTTCTATACTTCCTAACGTCTGATACCTGTAAATGTTAATTAGGAATTAAAGACGTGTCCTTCACCTGGTGGGCAAGTTGTCCCTCCGGCCGACGTGCATCATCACCGGTCCACTTTTAATGTCTTTGAAGACTGCAATCGCTTCGGCGTGAGTCAACCCTTGCAAAACGGCGCCGTTCACCGCGAATATCTCGTCACCTTAAAAAAAATTATTGTTAATTGGCAAACATGTACTTTGTCGTAACAGCCTAACATCGTGAAGGCCTTGCCTCGGCACTTAACATCGATATATCAAGCTGAACAAATTTTATCCATCCATCTTCAGTTTTGAGTAACTGGTCGACTAATAATTGGCCAGGCTAAATTATTAACAAGAAATTTCCCAAACTCAACACTGAAAATGGATAGAAAAACGCATCTGACTGACAAAACCAGCGAGGTTTGGCAGATCAAGATGACAGATAACTATCAGCCTATAGGTTTATCACCCCGTAGACCACAGGAAGAAAACTCACAATTTAACATAAACAAAATTACATATAAGCCAGTCTAAGTCATGAACAAACAATCACCCTAACTCAACACTGAAGATGGCGAAAAAACGCATCTGACTGACAAGATCAGCGAGGATAGGGAGAAGTAGAAGACGAAAGTTAAATATCAAACTATAGATACAATAAAAAGAGCAAAAATTGAATTGGCATTAAAGGTTTTAACTTTAAAATCACAATCTTTTTGGACTTACGCAGTTATTCCCCGAGGGTATTTTACCTGAGCCTAGTCTAAATATCTCGTACTTTAGATTTGCACATTAGACTATAACATTATTTCCTAATACTGAAGGCTTATTTTTCCAAAATATCATCATTGATTTTCCTGATCTTGAAATAATGATGAAATTGAAAGTACCCCGAGGTAAATCATTTCTATCCGTTACGTGGCACGTAAGCAATCCATCAGATCTTCGGCTTAACCACCCCCCTCGCAAACCCAATCCATTTTCCGAAACGTGATTTCAAATCGGTCCCTCGAACCCGTTCCTGTCTCTCGGAGCCCTACAATCGTACGGTCAACAATTATTTCCAACGATATACAACAATTGGGTAAAACGTTAAGCCTATTTCTTATTCTAAAACCGGGTTTTGTGAAATAATGATAATTGTCGATGAATAATTTATTAATCTTGGAAAGAGCAGCTAATCGGGTTGAAAGCGCCTTAAGCTGAGTAATGTGAGTCGTTATATGGCACATAAGTAATCCTTCGAGATATTTCGACATAACCCACTCCCTACAGCGAGAAGTTTGTATTGCTAGATCGTGGGAGGAAAAACCCCATAAAGAACTGTCAGACAAAAATTTTATGATCAAGTTTTATAAGGACTTTTTCCAGAGTATTAAGAAGATATTGATCCTTTTTCAATGTGGATGTCATTCCACCAAGACTTCAGTTCAATCGTACAGTACTTCCCGTTAGTCAGTATTGCAGCCATTAATAAGGTGCCAAACCACAAGTTTTTTATTCAATGCACGTCTGACAGAATCACAAATCAAAGTATTAAAATATGAAGAAAAGGCAAAAAACGTAACGTGTAAAACGCACAGACCACCCACCGAATTCTTTTAAGAGAAACCAGTCTGAATAAGTCATACTGATCGTTAACGAAGTACGGAGGGGCGGAAAAGTGCAGTCTTCAGTCGTGTTGAGAACCTACAGAAAGAAGCAAAAAAGACTAAAACGCAGAGACCAGCCACTGAATATGGGCGAAATCCGTCTAAAAGCAACCAGCAAGACTAGGTCTGAATAAACGGAAACGACCAAATAACAGTCATCATCTAACATACGTCAACAAAAATCCCGAATCCCACATCCAACACGATGAAACAGTATAATCTTCAGCCATGTTAAGAACATACAGAAAGGGCAAAAAGACTGTTAACACGCACAGAATTTGGCGAAATTCTTCAAAGAGAAACCAGCGAATGTTAAAAAAAAAGTTTGGTGGAATAAAATCTCAGTCATGGGGCACGCGAAGAGATTCATAGAAGGGTCATGGCCGCAAGCCTTACAAAGGAATTACTGTAAGGTAACCGCAACAGAACCAGGATTCTGGTTGGACTCCTGACAGGGCACTGTCACCTAAGAAGGCACATGCACCAGAGAGGAGTTCAGTCAGAAGAAACACTGTGCATATACTGGCAGGAAAATGAGAAGATTGCCGAACACATTTTATGTTTTCGTGAAGGAAGAGGTTCTTGCAACTATGAGAGGAAAAACCACAAACAAAATCTTACACTAAGGAGCCGCTGGCAAGGCTATGGAGGTTGATTAACAACCTCAAGCTGGCCAGTGAGTTATAAAAAACATGGGAACACAATAAATCTACTCAGGTCGACGTGCAGAAGGCCTTGTGGCCGCCTCTTTCAACCCTATCCCTTTGATGCAGCTCGCCTCTCAGACCGTCAATACAATATCGCACAATAAATTTGACATTGAAGTTAACGGCTAATGATCAAACCCAATGGCTGAAAATTCTTTATTCATTGAAAAACATACAAACGGACGTGAAAAAGGCACAGACCAAAGACTGTCTAAGAGACAAAACCGGCGACAATAGGTCAGCATGATGGGAAACTACCAAACGACAAGGTCATGAAATAGCAGACCAAAATAATAAAACACCAAATCCCAGAAAGGATAATATGCCTGCAAAAACGCACAGATTAACCACTTAAGATGATGACAGTTGTCCGACAGACTAGGCTAGAAAGAATAGGAAGACGCACCACATTGACTTGTTCCATTTTAAGGCATAATTCACTAATTTCGTGGTCCGCTTGAAATTAGTGAATTTAATGAATTAAAATGAAGTACACTTCACTAAAGCTCTCCGTCGCCATTTCAATTGTCGTCGAGAATCAAAACCGATTACACGACATTTGAAAAATGGCAAAAGGAGTGAAAACTCATAAGGTGGAGTTGAGATTAGGAGTTGATGTCCGAGTGGATCGAAGTCACGATAGCTCAGGTGGTAGAGCAGCGGCGTATCTAGCCGAAGGTCGTGGGTTCGAATCCCTCTCGTGCCATTAACTTTTTTTCATCTCAACAAAAAATCCTTAATTAAGGCATAATGTTATACATAGATTAATGAGATCAAATCTATTGACTTAGGAACACCGTGAACCATCGGTTAGATTAAGGACAAACTGAAACGAATAGAGTTTCATCACTACGCAAATCTCAACAGACATTCAGCAGCGAAAAATATGTAGCTAATTAATTCTTTTTAATTATCCAGATAAAGTTTTGTTAATATTAAAATATGTGAAGGTGTTAACCATCTATAAATTATAATAAATAACGATGACCACAGTAAAATACATCAGATAAATATGTGAAAGTGAGAATTAGTGAAGAATGAAACGATTGTCGTTACCTTCGCGTAAATTTCCGTTTTCTGCTGCTTGTCCAGTCGTAAAAATAGTTTTGACGAAAATGCCGAGGTTACCCTTAGGGGAGTCGTGGCCTCCCACTATGCTGAATCCGAGAGACTTGTGCCCGGGACCCTTGTGCAAAGTGACAGTGAATATGGAAAGAGTGAGCGACTTGGGTCTATTGGACCTGATGGCCCGGAGGCCGAAATCCGTCCGATTCTTCAGATAGTTGTCGCCGTGGGTGGAGAACTTCCTCATCCCCGTCTTGGCCGGGTCCGTCTCCTTCTTCTCTTCGGGGGCGATGGGCGGTTTGCCGAACTGGGCCTTCGTCCCGACTCTGGGCTGCGCCTGGAGGCTCCTTCTCCGGTCGTTCTGGCCGAGGACCGTCGGAGGTCCAGGCCTGGCCATCAGAGGGTTGGCGTCCATGTCGGCGATCGAGATCAAACGGTTCGTCGTCTGGGTCAAGGGCACTTTGGAATATTCGGCCGGGAAGGTAGACACCTTTGGAAGGGGCTTCGGGGGATGATCCACGTTCTTACGGTCGAAGTACTCGAAAGCGTTGTTCCATCTGGCGATGACCACTTCGATGTTGGACGAATTAGTCTGCATCAACTTCCGAACGCCTTGAATCGTCAACCCTCTCAGCCTCGTCCCGTTTACTTTTATTATTTCATCGCCGACTTTGATTCTTCCATCGCTGAAACAAGGGGTCATTACTTAACGATTTTTAATAATGTTAGGTTCTTCTTGAGGTCTTCGGGGAAACCGAACCTGTATTTAGGCCCTTTCCGATCATCCTGGTCAGACTTTGTGACAGACAAATACAGCGAAGACTAGCGGACCAGGATGACAGGAATTCAACAAATTATAAACACCAAGATAGAACGCAAAAACGCTCGATGGAAAGAAAACACCGTCGTTCATCTTTATGCTCCGACCAAAACCAAGAAATTTTCGAAAATTTGTTAGACTATGATTAAATGTATATACTAATACAAGGTATGTTTCTTATCCATCCAATAGAATAACACAAAAAACCTTGGCCTACTTTTTATGGTCGACTGTGGATCCATGGCAAGGATTTCTCCCTTGATTAAGAGAAGGAGCAAATTACGCATTACATTAAACTATTCAATTGGAGATATAATTTTTTTACCCTCAAACTATAACCCTTTTTAACTTCAAATTAATCTTTTTTTAATGTCAAATTTTTAACAAATTCGAAAATGTTTAAAAACATAGCAATTGGCTCTTTTATAAAATACCATATGGACATTAATTATACGTATCTCTTTATCCTGGAGTCAAATTAAATTTTATTAATTTTAATCTAATATTTTTTTACCTTCAAATTAACCAACCATTTTTAATTTGAAATAAACCGTTTTCGCTCGGAATTAACCCTTTATAATTTCAAATTAAACTTTTTTATGTTCAATTTAATCCTTTTTCGCGTAGAATTAAACTTTATTAATTTTAATCTATAATATTTTTTCCTTCAGATTAACCGAGCCTTTTTAACTTGAAATCCATCGTTTTTCGTACAGAAGTAACCTTTTTACCATCAAATTTATGTTATTTAATTTCAAATTGACTTTCTTTGCATCACATGAACCATTTTTAAATACAAATTAATTTTTTCATCAAATAATTGGGATCTTGGAATACCATCTGAAAATTAATTACAACTTAAATTCATTAGTTTCGTGGTCCGCTTGACCAATCAACATCTTAAATTAATTAAGGTTTTCAGTTGAGATAAAAAAGTCAATGGCAGGAGCGGGATTCGAACCCCACTATCTTCGGCTTGATACGCCGCTGCTCAACCACTCGAGCTATCGTGACTTTGATCCTCCCGGACACCAACGTCCCATCACAACCACAACTTTTTGAATTCTCCCTCTTTTTTGCCATTTTTCAAATGTCGTGTAATCTATTTGATTCTCAGCGACAAATGAAATGGCCACGGAGAGCTTTAGTGAAGGTATACTTCATTTTAAACTTATTAAATTCACTAGTTTCGTGGTCCGCTTGACCAATCAACATCTTACAATTAATTAAGGTTGGTGTCCGAGTGGATGGAGGTCACGATAGCTCAAGTGGTAGAGCAGCGGCGTATCAAGCCGAAGATCGTGGGTTCGAATCCCGCTCGTGACACTGACTTTTTTATCTCAACTGAAAACCTTAATTAATTGTAAGATGTTGATTGGTCAAGCGGACCACGAAACTAGTGAATTTAATAAGTAAAGGGTTTTGTTTATTATTAAATCGATTTTTTAATATATAAAATAATTTCTGACTTGAAAACCATATTAAAATTAATTACAATTAAAATTAAAAGTTATAGACAACTAAATATAAAAACAATTTTTTTAAATGTTGATTTGACGGAAAAAAGCTCTATAACCATTAGTTTGAATTAATTGGCGAAATTCAATGTCGGATATTATTATCAGGGTCACATCACAATTGTCTTTGAGCAGATTTGGTCGAGAAAAAAAAATACAACCACACAATGCACCGGCGCCTGTAAAACTTTACAAAGGAACAGCAAAGCAGAATGATGAGAGAAAAAAAAAGAATTATCACGAAACGGACAGAAAGGTGATGATCATTGCAGTTTGCTGACCCTTTTAACTATCATAAAACAAGAACGTAGCATTATTCATACCGGTATATACACCGATATACATACCCTTCAATTATCCAGTCTATAAACTAATATAATAATTGGATATTTTCTCTTATTATTTTCACAACTTAAGACAAAAAATAATCGACAAATTCTTTGATACTAAGAGCCTTAGAGAACGTGTAAAGTTCAGTCATCTTTTACTTTTATAAAATATTATGGTTAGCAATAATAACATTTATAAACGTGTTTTAATTTACTTCAGTATTAATTTAGACGATAGTAGTGTTATTATTTTTTTAATCTAGAAAGAATACATGTTTATAAATTCACACGCGATACTTTATAATTGTAAATTTAGTTAAACTGTGTATAACTTTGGTGGGTTTTAAATAGTTGAATAACTGTAAAAGGTTTAATTACAAACTCCAGAAGTAAATGTGTATTAGGATAAAAATTTCAAATTCATGCACATACAAATTCAGTTTGTTTTCTCATGATTGAGAAAGCAACGAGAACTTCTGATGAACTTTGAACTTTTTTCAACGATAAACTCATTTGCCGTTTAGTCATTATTCTCGCTGTTTTGAACTGTCAGACACGCTCGTCATTTCGCCATATGCGGTGATTTGTTTAAAAGTGATGAAACTCCGGGTAGTGTGTGTGGTTTTTCAACCAATTTATCACCATTTTGATGGTGGTCTCGGTTGTATAGAATGCACACGAAAACAGGCGATCATCACAGAATCGATAAATTGTGCAAGATGCGAAACTGACAAAATACCACACAACAGCTAGCTGAAGATGGCGAAATGCCTAAACTTTAATAACCCCGCAGACCTGAAGGAGAACTCTCATGGATTGTCATTTAGGGATGTGAAATTTATAAATCCGAGAAAACATAGTTCTTTTTAACGGGGTGGATAAAATTGAAGTTTAAATTAAAAACTGTGGGTTAATTGGATGTAAAATGTTAATTCGAAATAAAAAGTGTTAATTTCATATTAGAAATCGGGGATTAATTTCAAGGTAAAAAAGGTAGTTTGAATTAAAAAACGTACATGTAAAAACGGTTGATTTGATGCAATGAAAGTTAATTTGAAATTAAAAATGGTTTGATGCAAAGAAGGTAATTTGAAAATAAAATAAGATTAATTGGAAGGTAGAAACAGGTAACTTGAAATTAAGAAAGGTTGCTTTGATCAAAAAAGTTTATTTGGAATTAAGAATGTTTATTTTGATGCGAAAAAGAGGTTATTTTAAATTAAAAAGGGTTATTTTGATGAAAAACAAAGTTCATTCGGAATGTTTAAAAAAATTTGTGCTAAAATATGTAATTTAAAATTAAAAAGGGTAAGTTAAGTTGACGAAAAAAGGTTCATTTGAAATTAAAAAGGATTATTTTGAAGGAAAAAAGTTCAATTGGAATTTTAAAAAATTTGTTGGTGCTCTGAAGAGTTACTTTCACATTAAAAAGGGTGGGTTAATTTGACGAAAAAAGGTTCATTTGAGATTAAAAAGGGTTATTTTGATGGAAAAAAAGTTCATTCGGAATTTTTAAAATTTTTTTTGCTAAAAATATATAATTTCAAATTAAAAATGGTGAGTTAAATTGACGAAAAAAGGTTCATTTGAAATTAAAAAGGATTATTTTGATGAAAAAAAGTTCATTTGGAACTTTAAAAAAAATTTGGTGCTCTAATGAGGTAAGTTCGCATTAAAAAGGGTGGGTTAATTTGACGAAAAAAAAGGTTCATTTGAGATTAAAAAGGGTTATTTTCATGGGAAAAAAAGTTCATTTGGAATTAAGAATGTTTATTTTGATGCGAAAATGAGGTTATTTTAAATTAAAAAAGGTTATTCTGATGAAAAACAAAGTTCATTCGGAATTTTAAAAAAATTTGTGCTAAAAATATATAATTTCAAATTAAAAAGGGTTATTCTGATGAAAAACAAAGTTCATTCGGAATTTTAAAAAAAATTTGTGCTAAAAATATATAATTTCAAATTAGAAAGGGTGAGTTAAATTGACGAACAAAAGTTCATTTGAAATTAAAAAGGATTATTTTGATGGAAAAAGGTTCATTTGGAACTTTTAAAAAAATTTGGTGCTCTAAAGAGGTAATTTCACATTAAAAAGGGTGGGTTAATTTGACGAAAAAAGGTTCATTTGAGATTAAAAAGGGTTATTTTCATGGGAAAAAAAGTTCATTTGGAATTAACAATTTTTTTAAATGAAAAAAGTTAAAAAGGTGGGTTGTGTGGTGTTTAATGGCCGTTAGTTAAGGATTATTTGGAGATCTTGAGTTGCGGTCTGGTGTGACGTAGGTTTTAGAAAAATATTTTCTTTATCGTGCCAAAGTTTCGATCTTCATTGAGATCATCTTCAGGACCTGGGATTTATAAACATGGTTTAAATTATACAAATACAAGTAAGATGTGAAAATGAATTTATACAATGATATACACAATATAGAAATTTTATGTTTAATCAAAGTATTTGTACTCGCACAAAGTGTTTGTTTCCTGTGACACACAGTAATGACACATCTACACAGAAAACACTTTGAATGAGTCTAAAATTTCTAACATTGTATAAATTCATTTTTCACATCTTACATGTATTTGTATAGTTTAAACAATATTTATAAATCCCAGGCCCTGAAGATAATCTAAATAATGATCGAAACGTTGGTACGACAAAGAAAATGTTTTTCTAAACCTACGTCAAACCAGACAGCATCTCACGATCTCCAAATAATAATTAAAAAGGTTGGTTAATTTTATGAAAAAACTCAGTGTCACGAGCGGGATTCGAACCTACGACCTTCGGCTAAATACGCCGCTGCTCTCCCACTTGAGCTATCGTGACGTCGATCCTCTCGGACACAAACTCTCCATCTCAACGTACAACCGTTCGAATTTTCCCTCTTTTTGCCATTTTTTATTTCAACCAATATCTTACATAGAAAGAATAATTAATTGAAAGAAGTAACTTGGTCAATTGACTACTAAAACGTAAATGAATTTATGAAAAAAGCTTAACATGAAATTAAAAAATTCATGCAATAAAAGGATTAATTTGATGAAAATGGTTTCATTTGAAATTAAAAAGGGGTTAATTCCAATTTAAAAATGGTGGGTTAATTTGAAGATAAAAAATGGACAATTGGAAGTTAAAAAGTTTAATTTCATGTTAAAAGGGGTTATTTGTAATTTAAAAAATGTTAATTTGACGAAAAAAGCTATCTATTGTTAATAAAAATGTGTTAATTACCTGTCGATAACACCACCTGGTTCGACGTTTGAGACCAAGTAAGTTCCCTTGGTTGGGCCCGTTTCGATTTTTTCTATGTAAATTCCGAGCTCGGTGTTTTCGTTTTTGACAATGTCGAACTTTTTGAATTCTTTCTCGAGGGCTATGCTGCGTTTGAAGGTGTTGTCCAGGTCTTTTTTCCCAGTCGCCATATCCGTGGCATAATACTCGGAAGGAAGCGGTGTGACGTTCGCGTCGTCTCCTCCTTCGTTCTGTCCTTTTTTCGCAGTCGGATAGACGACCGGAGTCCTCGTCTTCCCGAGGCTGGGCAGCAGGTCTGGGACCCCGTTCGCCTCCTTCTTCCTGAAGCCGTCCGACTCCGGATCCGGAGGGCTTCCCGCACCGGTCCGCATGTTGTCGCTCTCGTACCCGCTCTCTTCAGATTTCATTATGATGAAATTGTTTAAAAAGTTGTAAATCTCTTTGAGATGAGGCTGAGTCCTGAGACTGACGGGTATAGACGGGACGGAAGCGGGGATCGATTTTTTCGCCGTCGCAGGCGGATTGGGGGAAAAGCCGTTCCTTTTCGTTTTCTCTTCCGAGGCCGGGCTTTTCTTGTCTTGGTAATTTTTTTTCGACTTGTCCAACGACGAACAGGTCGGCTTGGCAGTCGTGCCGCCGCCGCATTTCGACGCGTTATTCGTCAGCTTCGACAGACAGCTCCCGCCTTCCGTTTTGTCTCTGTTCGAGGGTAATATTTGACTGAAAGTGCTTTTAGCGTTGCAGTCTGGTTCGTTCGGATTTTCCACGACTGTGCCGATGGTCTTCCTTTTGAATATTGAGTCCTCGTCTTTAGACTTTTTGTCGGTTTTACGACTTTTACTTTTCATTAGCATGCTGTTCAATTGGTAAAGATCCGAAATCCCCTTTTGACACTCGTTTTTCACCCAATCGGTCCCGTTCCTCTTGGAGTCCGTCGGAGGTTTTCCGGATTTTCCGCTTTCCTTTCTATCCTGGGACAGGACGTGCGAGTTGCCACGGGCGAACATGTGCCGGAGCGATTCGACTCTGGAAACTCTCTTGGAATTCGTCGATTTGCCGCTGTTCGTCTTGTTGGGGCCCGTTTCCAAAATTTCGATCGAATCGCTTTTCTTCAAATGTTCCCATTTTTTGCCCACTTTCTTTCCCCACGTCGAGAGTCCTGAAACAAGGAAAAATACTATTAAATTGCATAAGTAAAATACATATCAACAGGGCAGTAAGAAATTCTTTCTAACAAGGAAAATTTGAAGAAGAATTCGTCGTTATGCCAGCCTTTCAATACAGTTGAATAAATTTAGGAAATAAGACGAAAAGTCCCACCATCCAACCGCCCCCGGGATGATACTTAAGAGACATCTAGACGGGTTACTATCGACAGGATTATAAAAGGACTCGATACGCAAGAATCCCGAATATCAGAATTTCATGCTTTTTATGTTGGCATTCGAGTTCGTTTAGGAGCTCATTATGCATTCACCTTCGTTTATGAAAGAAACTTTACCAGAGAAAAAGCGGTTTTGTTAGTATTACTTTTTTGAGTGCACAAGGAAATCCAAGCAGAATTTATTGTTCTGGCGTAGCTAAAACTTATGAGATCTTCATAAACCAACCATAAGCTCAGAATTAAGCGGGGATCACACTTACCCGATGCAACGCTACCCGAAGCCACCAGATGCAAATCCAATGTCCAATTTTCCATAAGAATGAATTACCCCCGTGCACACCCTACTATAAGCCGGGAACACACTTACCCGATGCTACACCATGCGACGCCACCCGATGCTAACCGACGCCTTGCCACGTTTTGGTGGGGTGTGCACATCTATCCGACGCAAGCACACGTCGCGTTTTGTTCTTAATGCACTATTTTGAGCAAAACCTTGTACAGCTATGTAATAAATTGTTAGTTAAATTTTATGAGCACAACCATGTAATAAATTGTTTGTTAAACTTAATTGTTTTAAATAAAGTTACTCCTAACCATCATAATTAAACAATGTTTATAAAAACTTATGCATTTTTGATCTCGTTTAATTTGGTTTACATTAAAATAACATGTTGTAATTAATATAACGACAAAATTACATGTACTTAGTTTGAAATAAACTACAAAAAATATGAGTGTCCTGTTCTGATGCTACCCGACATTACAAAATGGTGTAATTTTACGAGCAAAACTATGAAATAAATTGTTAATTAAATTTTATGAGCAAAACCGTGTAATAAATTGTTCCAATTTTAGTATATGTACCGCCGAAGCGAGTACAATAAATTGTTAGTTAAATTCATTATATCAAAAAATCGTATTCCGGTGTTTTGATTAATTTTCTACCAAACCATTAAAATTAATTTTTTAAATAAAAACTAATTAATTTTTAATCACAGTTAATTTGGTTTATATTAAAATAAATATGTTCTAATTAATATAACGACAATAATGCATGTAGTTTGAATAAAAATATGAGTGTCCGGTTCTTTTGTCTTCGACTGTACTCGATGCGACCCGACGAAAATGTGGGCAGTGGGGATCGCAGTTTGTCGGATAGGTTAGCGTGGCATAACATCGGGTAGATGTGCACGGGGGTAATGCAACCTTATGGAAAATCGGAGTTTGGATTTGCGTCGGGTAGCATCGGGTAGATGTGCACGGGGGTAATGCAACCTTATGGAAAACCGGAGTTTGGATTTGCGTCGGGTAGCATCGGGAAGCGTCGCATGGCGTAGCATCGGGGAAGTGTGTTTCTGGCTTAACCCGATGCAACGCTATGCGATGCTACCCGACGCCTTGCCACGTTTTGGTAGGGTGTGCACATCTATGCGACGTCGAGCGCACGCCACGTACAGTCACACATCCCGTATCACAAATCAGTATCACAATCGCAACGCCTCGTTTGTTCTTAATGCACTATTTTGAACAAAACTATAAATTGTTAGTTAAATTTAATTGTTTTCAATAAAGTGATTCCAGTGTTTTGATAAATTTGCTGCCTAACCATCATAATTAAATATTTTTTATGAAAACTCAAGCATTTTTGATCTCATTTAATTTGGTTTACAATAAAATAAGAATGTTGCAATTAATATAACGATAAAATTACATATACACAGTTTGAAATAAACTACAAAAAAAAATATGAGTGTCATGTTCTGACGCTACTCGACGAAAATGGTTTAATTGTAAGAGCAAAACCATGAAATAAATTTGTTAGTTAAATTTGATGAGTACAACCATGTAATAAATTGTTAGGTAAATTTAATTGTTTTAAATAAAGTTATTCCGGTGTTTTTAAAATATGAGTGACCGGTTCTTTTATCTTCGACTGTACTCGATGCTACCCGACGAAAATCTAAACAGTGGGGATTACTTAGCGTAGAATAGGTAGCGTTGCGTGGCATCGGGCAGATGTGCACAGGAGTAATACAATTTTATGGAAAATTGGACTTTTGATTTGCATCGGGTGGCTTCGGGTATAATGTTGCATCGGGCAAGTGTGGCAAGTTCGATTTTATGAAGGCCTCTCTCATTTTGAAATTGTAAACTGAAAAAATAATTCCATTGTAAAAAGAACGAGATCTCGTACGAAGGAACTAAAAGTATACGTAGTAATAAAATTAAAAAAACTCATGCTGAAAAGTAGTAATTACGCCTGTTTCCTACTAGGTTATAGACCTGCATAAATTTTTCTCGTGCCGTTCCCTGAGGAACTTCACTAATACCTTTCGTGTCGTTCCAGTAATTCCAGGCCACATTCGTTGTCTTATGTAAGTCGGCACTTATTACTTAGTCGCCGGGGGGGGGGGAAGTTGCATGACTATCATTTTCCATTAGCCTGGAGTTGTTCAATGTCAAAGTGGCCCCGTTTAACATCCAGAGCAAGTACAACAGCACACATTTTAAGGTAAATTAATTTTAAATTTTTTAAGATTACTTACCTGAGTTGTTATTTTTTATAAGACTATTTATCTGACTTTGCTACAAAATCCAAAAAATCGGTTTAATTTTATCTAAAATAACTTGATCATATGTTAAAGAAAATGTGAGTTTTCGATTAAGCCAATCCCAGGAAAATTACAATTCAATACCGCTCGAGCTTTATAGCATTTTCTAAAATTTAGTATCACTCAAGCTACACAGTATTTTATAAGTAATCTTTTTTGGTTCACATGGATTTATATTTTAATCTCTATCTAAATTCGACCAACTGCTCTCGGATATTACGAACGTACTACGGTGTAGGCAGTATTTCGATAAAACATAAATAGAAAATAACATTGGACTGGAGGAACTACTGAAATCTTCTCATCATAAGATTTTGAAAAGGACCAAGTTTTGGCAACTGTCATTACGACGTTGTATACTCAATCGTACTACGCTACCTGCTGAAGGACAAGTTGAATGTTTAGGACTCAACTTATGTATGTAAAGGTAAAAGTTGTCCTGGCCCACTTGGTTTTGAGGTGATAAAGTATTGCATATGTTCAATTTGTAAATCATCTATCAAGAAGTCAATTAGCCAAAACATGTAACTGTATCGCTACCTTATCGTAATTGGCATTCAAGTCACCATAAAACATCGGCGATATTTTCTAACACAACGTATTCTTTAAAGAAAAAGAAAAAAAGAAAAAAACAATCAACAACCAAGGAAAATATTTATCCTTTTGATTGAATAATTTCGGCTTACCTTTTCTGTATAAAGACGGTGAGCTGGATAACGGAGTCGAAGAACCGACGGACACCGGAGACGCCTGTCCCGACCTCTGCTGCCACTGTTTCAGATGGCATTCTTCTTCTGTGTCTTCTATAGAAAGCGGTGCCAAGCTGACCAGCTGGGGGTTCGGGTCGGAACTCCTCCTTTTGAACAGCCTCATCGCCTCTGAGAGGGAAGGAAGTCGGAATTACTGAAAGGAAAAAACAAATACTTTCATGCAGATACCATGGAACGAAAGGTCGTTTATTTGATTTCTTGTTCGATGTTTGGACCTCCAAAGAGATACAACATTCAACAATAACCATGGATACTACAGGTCAATAAAAAAAATCAATTTAGGTCGTGTATTTCTTTCTTTCAATAATATTAAAGATAAGCCAAAGACCACCTATAAACTTTAATATAATAAGTATCTAAAGCTTGGCTTTTTGTCTGCGGCTAACTTACGACAGAGCAGCAAATCTAATCTACCACTAATAAAGAACGAGAAGAATAAGACGCTATCTGGGTAAACGTGAAGTCACTGAAGTCCTAAAAATTTCCTATAATCTTCATCACCAACGACAACGACTAAGCAATCACCCCAATCACTTCTGCAAGAAGAATATGATGCTATCTGGGCAAATCTGAAGTTGCATTTAAAAGTTGAATTTAAAACATAAAATACGTCAGAATGCTTGGAGTTCTTCCGAAGCAGCAATTGATCAGAAGATGGCACAGCTGTGTCGCAAGGTGGATAGTTAGTCGGAATATCAGAGGTATAAATCCATATATATCCGTATACAAATGATCCACATCCGAGCTCTTCCGCTCCCAGACGGCTTCGGAGTAGTCCGATCTTTTGCTAACTCGGAAGAAGGTCCAGTCCTTAGAGGACTTCTCATTTGCAGGACAGTTACGGGAACACGGACATGGAAGATTCTATATATTTAGTACCTCTACTTGGCGTCCACTCTAAATAAAAGGACAAGGACTGTCGTGTTATACAGTCTGTCCGATAAAGGATGTCAGGAGAACGTTCTGACCTACATCCGTACATCCTCCAAATAATGGGTGACTGCTCGAGCTTCACGCAGTCGAGCATTATCATGCATTAACGCGAAGGACCACGGCAAAGAAGAACTTCCTCAGTATAACTTAGTTCAGTCTAAGATACATGCTGCGTGATAATCAGTAATAATAATAAACAGGCATGGACACCGATTCTACCCTTCAATTTAACTGACTGTCTTTGAAAAGGCTGTGACTGTGGCCTATGAAGCAAATCCACGTCTTTTCCGCACACGGTCGCGGCCATCGGATAGCCAAAAATCAAACCTTCATCTGCGAAGAGAACAGCCCCTCATTGTTCAAGTGGCCAAGCTGAATTGAGAATAGTCGTATTCTACTCGATACCTCTCACGTAGTAGAGAACCTGCCGGACCTCTAAGGGACTAGAGCCTCTCTCACGAAGCCAACACCGTTTTGAAGTTGACTACCTCTCCGATAAATGACGGGTCTTTAGTATGGTATGAGCAATGAAATGGTCTCTAGCCGTCGTACAACGCGGTCGACCACTACCTTCTCTTCCATCGAGACTTCAGGTGGCCCTAAACCGCTGTAAAACATCGTGGATGGTAAGTGCGGCACATCTACGGAACCATCTGCCCGGGATCTTCTATACTTAAAACCATAAACCATGCTTTTAAAACAACTTTTCATTTTTATACGTAGTTATTATGTAAAACAAACAAATAAATACAAGTTCCCGGGGTTTTTTAAAGTGTATTTAGCACCAATTTGATGTAGGATGTAAGATCACCTGTCGTTACGAAAAATCACCTTCTATTAATACTTTTTTATGTTTCATCCAAATCTGAATAATAAAAAAATCACCACTTTAAATAAAACTGGATGAATTAATTGTTTTGAAATAAACTGAGCGTAGGTGACAAACCTTGGAAACGCCTTGGTAGCCTACGCATTTCCGTGACAGCGCCCGAGTTTGTTATCAATAATTCACTTTCAAATGGTATTTTCTACTTGTGTAAGTTTGTACTTGTGGTACCTACAATTTTGTAGGTCCTGTTTAAATTGGACAGTTCAAAAAAAGCTAATTATGAGCCTTATATGGTCAAAGGGAAAAAGAGCAGCGGGACGAGAGGTTAAAACCGGGTTTTGAGGCATTTTCAAACAGAATGAAGTCATCTGTTTTCTTCTACGAATCTCCTTCGTCCTGTGGGTTGAACCGGAAATGTTTAACTCCGGCGCAGGACCTCCTCTCCTTATGGAAATACTTGTAAACACTAGCTTTCGGTCGTATATTTTTTGTTTATCCTTTATATATAAATACATATCACCTACAGTTAATTTTTTGTATCAGATCAATTATTTCGTGTTTTGTACGCCTTACACGTGTTGCTTTTTTATTCGTTTTTGCATTTTTTTTATTGCTGTGTGGTAAAAGTTATAAATGGAACTGCAGGACATTTGGTGTCTGAGTTTTACGGGCAGTTGAATTTATAGTTCACTGTCTTTTTTTTCCAGCCAATTATTGTGTTGTCGAACCGTCGACCGTGTCTTTGAACGGGCCAATTTCGTTTTGTTCTCCGATGACTTTCATGCTATAAAAAACAAAAACTAATAACAATCCTTGTTAGTTCGATCAAATTTACCCGTGTTGCTCTCCACTGTTAACAACTCAGATAGTTAAGACTATACAGGGTGTCCTTTTTAGATAGCCTCAGGCCCAGCTCAACAACAAAATTTCAAATACGACAACCCTATACATCCTGATACATCAGTCTATAGGATTTTTGATGCTCAAAAACATTCAATTGACATTGGATTGACCACCATTACGGAGGCCATTACGGTCCTAGCCATCTATCCCGGAAGTGACGATTCAAATAACGTCTCACCTGCAAAGAATTGTGTGCGGGGCATCCAACAAGCAGGAGTCATTCTTTGTCGTTGTTGCAGAGGAACATCATCTAATAGTGTTAGTAAAACCTCCCTCAAAAAATTATAGAACTGAGCACCAATTAAACTATTTTCGCAGAAATAAGGCCCAATTGATTTATTTCCGAGAAGACCACACCAAACGTTGTAGTATGGAATTCTAGGATTTTCCTCTGCCCGGGTTCGAAAATTCCAAAGGTTTAGTATGCCATTGGGGTGAACTTGGATTTGTCAGTCCATAGGATGTATGGAAGAACGTCTTCTTCAGCCTCCCAAATCGACATGTGTGCAAGGAATGCCTGTCATAATCAGAGTCCCGAAGTCCCTGGACAAGAGACAGATAAGAGTGATACGGCTTAAAATTGTAAGTCCAGAGTACAACCCTAATTTTATTTTTTGAAAAAACCGAAAACTCTTCCAATATTGAAATAATTGGAAAAATTATTGAACCCAAAATTGTTGAAATTAACAACGAAATGCGTTTCTTCAAACTTTTGCCATTTTTTGACCAATTATCCGACAATCCATTGTACAATCCGACTGTACCACTGTTTTCAGCGTAAAAAATCCTATCAAATGATGTGTCAGCATGTATAGGGTTTGATAGCCTGAAGTGAAATTCAGCCGCGTCATCTAACCTCTATACCGGCACAGCTGACTGATGTGGAGCACCCCATAAGACTTAAGAGACATCTTAACAGAAGACTAGGAAGACTACTTGGCTGCTAGAATGGTTGTGAGATCTAGATGGCGATCGAAAGGGTGCAACACATTTCAGTCACATTGAAAAAACCACTTGCCCTCCACTGTACGTACTCCAGTCAGATATTGTCTGCATGGCTCAAAAACGGTTTTCCTCGGTGCCATAACCTTTTCCTAGCTGCTGTAGGGTTGTTGGAAAGCCTTGAATGAAACTGATTTTTAGCCCGTTAAGACAGACTTTTTGATTTTTTCTTGTTTCTTTTTTTTAATTCTTTTCTGATCATATCCGTTATAAAAATTTTTTTTTCAAAAATTATGATATTTATACCATATACATATAGTACATATTACAAATGTGGTGACAAAACGTTTTTTCATACGGTCACAGCACTAACAAATCCAGGACTGCACCCGGAGGACACATACCATGAAAAACCAGCCAATGCCGGCACTCAGTGTGACAAATTAAGACGCAAGGAGGTCTAGAGGCCATCGTCGGTTAACGCGACGTGTCGGGTTCTTGGGTGGGAATGTGACAAAATCATTGTTGAGGAAGTTGTGGACGGTGAAGTTAGTCGAAGAAGCTTTGTTTGGGTACTTTTGATTGTAAAGATTGGATCCGCTTGATGATGGTCTGGCGGAACGCAGAAGTACCACTTCAAATATTACACAGTAAAATCTAGTATAAGGTTAGTTTACTGTTGACGTCACTATGGACCTCGGTCCGAGCAGTCTTCGTAGTTGTCCAAGTCTACTGTTAAGTTGTTGTGCTTAAGTCTGTATTTCCAAGTCAGTCTGCTGTCTAGGTGTAGTTCGAAGTATTTGACTTGTAATTTTGACTTGTTAAAGTCGTGAGGAGCGGTCAAGAATGAGGTACTTTAGAAAAACACCTTTTTCATTTTTTGCCGCCGTTTCGACCTTTATTCGGGTCATCTTCAGGGCATAAAGTGTGGTGCTATTCTTATGGTTTCATAATGGTGTGTGAATGTGTTGTGACCTCACGACTTCAACCAACTATGAAACAACAGGTCACTAAGAAACAAATATTTGACTTGTATTGAAGTCGGTATCTCTTTTTTCTCGATGTAAAGTGGAGTTGTATAATAATGTATATATAATGTATGTATATGTATATATAATGTATTCGACAGAACACTTTTATCAAAACAAAGAATAACGCTTGAGAAGTGAATGATATAAACTGATTTTTCGTACTGTCCATAAAGTATTTTCTCATTTTATATTGAGTGATTAGTGACATTGTCTCGTTATTCCTTTTAGGATAAACAGTTTTTTTGTTTATCGGTACGAAGACTTTTCTGGGACCAATTTATAAATAATCTGAGAATATATCACAGAATAGAATTTATGTAACATAAATTTGTTATGTCCTTAATGCTTTTATTAGGGGGTGTAGGTCAACTGTATACATGATATATAGGATGGGACGATGAATGCTCCCTTGTGGGACGCCAGCATATTTGTCTGGCTTTCTAGAACTCGTTGCCGCACTGTAAACCAAAGCCTAAATTTAAAAAAGTACTAAAT